AAATAATGTGGGCGGGCGGGTGCGTGGGTGGGTGGGTGGATGGATGGATGGATGGATGGATAAATGAGGAAACAAATAAGAAAATGTTTTCCGAGCGCTTATTTGTGAGGAAATAATGAAGTGCAAAATCAAACTGGACTCCTGTGGGAGTCAGGTGGTAGGGAACTTTGACCACAATACTGTGGTGTTGGACTTCATCTGGTAACCCAAATTTTCAAAATCTGAATTTTCTCTTGGATTCATGAAATTTAAAATTTGTCTAAGTGGGGAGTGCAAGGGTGATGACTGAGGGCTGACAGGGTGGGAACTGCTTATTATAAACAACACTAAAGAGGAGGAACAGAGTGAGGACCTGTCACTGCTGGTCACTGAGGCGTGGGGAGCACAGCTGTGAGAACGTCAGGTGAGGGCTGGCCACCTCAGCTCCCCCTGGATGACACCAGAGGCAGCCTTACATCCTCTGACTGCCCTTGCTAGAATTCAGGATTGTCTGCTTGGACTATTTTTGAAATTATAAAATACATAATACACATAAAAGCATCTACAGTTTAAAGAACAATAAAATAGAAACAGAACATTTCTATTTCCAGTTAATCTACTGGTTGAGCAGGCAAGTGACATGTTCAAGCAATGTTAGAAAAATAACTCTGGTTTTGTCTGCAGGACCTATGGGAGAAGGCTACGTCTACAAGTTTCTGGCATGTGAGCATGTGAGCATGTGATGGCCTTTTGATATGTCAGCTTGGCTAGGCTGAACTAGTCCCTAGTTATTCATTTAGGTGCTTCTGTGAATGGAATTTGCAGATGTAATTAAAAGTTCCTAATCAGTTGACATTAAGTTAATCAAAAGGGGTTTGACCCTAGGTGGGCCTGACCTAATCAAGTTAGCCCTTTAAAAGAGGGCATAGGTGTTTCCTGAGCTGAGAGACTCCAAACAGCTCATGCCTGTAGGGTTCCAGCCTGCTCCTGACCACCTACCCTGCGGACTTCAGACTTGCTTTACCACTACAATTGTGTATGCCAATTACTTGTAATAAATCCCTGTGTGTGTACATACACATATATATGTTATGTATATATGCATATATGTATGTAAGTATACTCTCCTATGGTTTTGCTTCTTTAGTTGAACCCCAATTGATATAAGCATTAAAAAAGGAATTGAATTGATTATATATACTCTTATATATTGTATACCATATATAAATACCTATGTTCTGATGTGTTTTGCCACGTCCAGTCAATATTTCAGGTTTTAGAAAGCTGAGTTTAGAATTTTCCTCGATCCACTTCTTTAAAGCCTGAAAATGAAAAGCAATTATCAGATGGAGCCTATCTGTATACCATCTGTATTAATTCAATATTGAAATATATGCAAGAAAAAAAAACCCTTTAAGTTATTATACAGACAGTTTTCAGACTGATAAATCTAAGAAAAAAAAGCTTCTTGGAGCTGAATTCTATGCAATAATTAACCATAAATGTACAGATCTTTGTGAGCTTATATGGTTTAATCGTTAAGATATTTTTTAAGTGATAAAAGCAAAGTTCAGATTGAAAGTAGGTATGTAGAATTAAACTGTGAGTTTAGCAAGATCTCAGGACACAAGATCAACATACAGAAATCAGTTGTATTTCTATATACCAGCAACAAACAAAAGTACCATTTACAATAGCATTAAAAAGTAATACTTAGGTATAAGTCTAACAAAATACATGCAGAATATGCATGCTGAAAACAACAAAACACCAATAAAAGGAACCAAAGAAGATGTGGTAGGTGGCCTCTAAGGTAGCCCTCAATGATCTGTTCTCCCTGGTATTCAGACCTTTGGGTCCCCTCCCCTCAAGTGTGAACTGAACTTATTGACTTGCTTCTAATTAGTAAAATAGGACAGACATGATGAGATATCACTTCCAAGTTGAAGTTATAAAATGACTGTGACCTCCATATCTCCCTTGGGTCACTCACTCTAGGGGAAGCCAGCTGCCATGCTGTGAGCCAGCCCTGTGGAGAGGACCACGTGAATGAGCTTAGAAGCACATCTTCTGAGGCCTGCCAATAGCACCTCAGTGAGCCTGGAAGTGGATCCGCCCAGTTCAAGCCTTGAGATGACTGCAGCCATGGCCAACACCTTGACTGCCGCCTTATGAGACAGTGAGCCAAAAACACCCAGTTAAGTTGTTTCCCAGCTTCCTGACGCATGGATATTGTAAGATAGCAGATGTTACTTCCAGTCACTAAGTTTTGGGGCAACTTGTTATCAGCAATAGGTAACTAATACAGAAGCCCTATAAAATGAAGAGATATACTATGGTCATGGACTGGAAGACTCGACATTATTAAGATGTCATTTCTCCCCAAATTTGTTTATAGATTCAGTGCAATCCCAAAAGAAATTCCAGTAGACTTTTTCATAGATGTGGACATGTTGATTCTAAAATATAAATGGAAAGGCAAAGGAAGACAGCTAAAACAATTTTAAAGAAAAGAAAAAGCTATAGAATTCATACTAGCTGATTTTAAGACTTACTATATAGCTATAGCAACCAAGACAGTGTGGGATGTATGACAGTAAAAAACAGACGATATGCTTCTGCCTCAACATGAACGGATCTCGAAAACATTACTATGCAAAAGAATTAAGTGAAAGGAAAATAGTCTCAAAGGACCATCTATTTTCTGGTTTTACCTATATGAAATGTCCGGAATAGGCAAATCTATAAAGATAGACTATGATCAGTGATTATTTAGAACTCAGTAGAATTCTGATGAGGAGTGACTGCAAATGAGTGGGAATATTCTTTGTGGGGAGATGGAAATGTTCCAAAATTAGATTTTGGTGATAGTTGCATTACTCTGTAAATAAACAAAATAGTATTATACAATTTATATGGATGAACTCTAAGGAATGAAAATTATATGTCAATAAATCTAGTATAAAAAAACAAAAACACAGTGTGGAAAGGGTGAAAGACAGATGTACAGATGAATGGAACAGAACAGAGAATCCAGAAATAGATCCACATAAATATTGTCAGCTGATTTTTTAAAAAGTTGCAAAGGCAATTCAATGGAGAAAAAATATTCTTCTCAACATACAGAGCTGGAACAATTGGATGTCCACATACAAAAAGAAAAAAATAAGCATCTCAACCCATACCTCAAAATGGATTGTAGGCCTAACTGTAAAATGTAAAACTATAAAACTTCTAGAAGATAACACAGAGAAAACCTCTGTGGTCGTGGGTGAGCAAAGCACTCTTACATACAATACCAAAAGCACACTCCACAAAAAGAAAAAATTGATTAACTGGACTTCATCATAAGTTAAAACTTTCAGTCTGTAAAAGATACAGTACTTGTTAAGAGAATGAGAAGACCAGAAGAAAAAATTTCAAATCAGATTCCCGACAGAGGACATTTTTGTCATAATATAAGAAGATCACTCAAAAACTCAACAATAACACAATAAACAATCCAAATACACTCACTTTTAAAATGGGCAAAAGACGTGAACAGATATTTCTCCAAAGAAGATACATGGATGGCTAATAAGTATATGAAAAATGCTAAATGGTATCAGCCATTAGTCAAGTGCAAATTAAAACTCTAGTGAGATATCACTATGTACCCACAGAATGGCTAAAATTTTTTAAATTGATGAAAAGAATCAAAAAAGTATAAAGGCATCAAGACATCATTATAAACCAGAGTGATTGCAACAGTGAAGAAAAGAAAAAACAATCTTTTCTATAAAATGGTACTGAGCCCATCTGCTATTCACAAGGAGGAAGAAGCTTACATCCACAAGTGCCCTGGTCTTTACGAAGAGAATGGTTCTGGTCTCCGGGTTTAAGTGGTACTCCTCTTGCAAGATGAAGCAGAGGTCTTTGAGTTTAGGGTTCTCATTGCTGGGATCCATGGAAATGCTCTCTAATTCTTGCAGCTTTTCTGCAAAAGGAGAAGATTTTATAAATGACTTATAAATTCTAGAAATTTAGAACATATATACTATGACCTTCAGCTATAGTTCAGTTAGTCTCTCAACCTTGGACCAGAATTTTATATGTGATAACCACTGATTTAATGTATACATTAAATATACCATAAATGCAGATATTTTTGTTTCTCCCAGGGAGCTGGTTGTCCAATGTTTAGCAGCACATCACTGGGTTACACATATGTGTAGTAAATACTTTGGTATAGGTCCCCCCAAAATTATTAACAGCAATTACCTTTGGGAAAAAAATTGGGGAGATGGAGAAGGAAGACTTACCTGTCATTTAATATTTTTCTTAATATGAGAGATGTGAGATTATGGGCCAATTTGGCTTTCTTCTTTACATAGAAGTATATGTAAATTATAGTACTTTTAAAATACTTTTGTATTTTGTAAACCTTTATAAAATTACTGAAAGTAAAACCAAAATATGCTACTATCTATTAACTATTTCTATGGAATGTATCCTTTGCAAATCCTACTATTTTTCCTTCCACAAAATTGGAAATAGGGTAAGCTGCAGATTCTCTCCGTTAACTACCAGGTTTCATTGAAGCTTAATAGTCCTGCCATTTATGATNGAGAGAGAGAGAGAGAAACATCAATGATGAGAGAGTCATTGATCGCTGCCTCCTGCAGGCCCCCGAATGGGGATCGAGCCCGCAACCCCGGCATGTGCCCTGACCCAGGACTGAACCCCGATCACCTGGGNTCACTGCCTCCTGCAGGCCCCCGAATGGGGATCGAGCCCGCAACCCCGGCATGTGCCCTGACCCAGGACTGAACCCCGATCACCTGGGTCCTAGGTCAACGCTCAACCACTGAGCCACACCCAGCCAGGCCATGATATCTTCTTAAGACCAGAACAACTCCCTGAGCATCGCCATATGCTAAGTATAACACCATACCAGCAGGCTACCACTGGAGTCACCAGGCACCATGGCTTCCTCCTCTGGAAACACCACTCACCTTCAAATCTCCGAGTGAGATCCTGCTCAATCTCATCAAATCCTGCTGCTCGGACATTACTGAAGAAGTTTTTCAAGTAATCCAGAGCATCTTTCGTCCGCGCGTCCTCATTGATAATGAGGGCATCATTAAATTTCTGTTTAAAGTGAACACCGAGTTTCAGTGCATTTCTAATGTCTAACACATTTGCTGTAATTAAGTTCAATTCGCTATAACTTGGCATGGAATTAATTTTAAGAATAAATTTTTCTCAAATCTATTCCAATTTAGCTTTTAAGATGAAGAGCCCCCAATGGTATTAATCTAGGAATCAAATACAGTTTTTTAAAAATCTCAATTAGCTAGAATCAATAATTAATTAGGATGACCCTAGATTCTAGAGGTCTACCTTGGAAGAGAAAGAGAAGATTACAAGAAAAATGCACGTGAAAGATTAAAACAAAACAAAACAAACGAAAGCAAATCAGCTTCCATATCAACCTGCCTCATAATTCAGACATTCAACTTAATCTCTCTATACATCTAACACCATCACTGAATTGCAACTGCACCTGTTTTTGGGAACTTTTTTTTGGTTTTTGTTTGTTTATGTTAAATATATCTTTATTGATTTCTGAGAGAGGAAGGGAAAAGGANTTTTGGTTTTTGTTTGTTTATGTTAAATATATCTTTATTGATTTCTGAGAAAGGAAGGGAAANGGTTTTTGTTTGTTTATGTTAAATATATCTTTATTGATTTCTGAGAGAGGAAGGGAAAAGGACAGAGAGAGATAGAAACATCAATGATGAGAGTCATTGATCAGCTGCCTCCTGCACCCCCCCTACTGGGGATCGAGCCCACAACCCAGGCCTGTACCCTGACTGGGAACTGAACCGGGATCTCCTGGATCCTAGGTCAATGCTCAACTGCTGAGCCACACCAGCCAGGCACAACTGCACCTGTTTAAAATGATGGCGCTGACCACCTACACCAAATATTCAGTTTAGTTCATTACGATTCTGTAAATGCATACTGACTGAGTACATCCCAAAATATTTGTGTCTTTCTAGTGTGCATGTAGCTTTATCAAAGGTAAGAAAACATCCTTTAGGACAGGGCAACAGGAGCCACTTATTGCACTTTAAAGATGGCTGTCACCAGTCACGTATCTACATCATTGTTCGTCATCACCCAGTTTTTTCTAATGGTTCAATCACGGGAACGCTGGAGGCACAGGTCTTTCTGTCCTGCTNTGCACTTTAAAGATGGCTGTCACCAGTCACGTATCTACATCATTGTTCGTCATCACCCAGTTTTTTCTAACGGTTCAATCATGGGAACGCTGGAGGCACGGCACAGAACCCCCCTTTCTTTCTGTCCTGCCNTCGTCATCACCCAGTTTTTTCTAATGGTTCAATCACGGGAACGCTGGAGGCACAGGTCTTTCTGTCCTGCTGCCTCCAGGGTTAAGTTTCAGAAAGCAGACACAGAAGGTGCTGCATGGGTAACTTTTGGAGTTTGCTTCATAAGAACTTTCTGGAAAGTTCCAATCCACTGTTCATATTTCTGTGTTCCAAAATTCCTGTTTCGAATCTGAGATGAGTTTTCTGGAAAGGAAAAGTTTTCCATTGTGCCACGTGTCAGTCATGTCAGTGAGCTGCTGGGGACAGGATGAAAGCTGATGTTCCCTCAGCTGCCACAGCACAGCTCCCAGTAACTGCGACAACTAAACCCCGCCTTTCCAGCCCTGCCTGGGTGGCTGAGTTGGTTCGAGTATTGTCCCAATACACCAAGGCTGCCAGTTCAGTCTCCAGACAGGGCCAATGAATGTATAAATAAGTGGAACAATAGCTAGATGTCTCCCTCTCTCAATTCAATAAACNGCCAATGAATGTATAAATAAGTGGAACAATAACTAGATGTCTCTCTCTCTCAATTCAATAAATAAAAAATAAAATACACCTTTTCAAAGAAGCAACATACCCGCAAATGTGAAGTGTACAAGAACAGTGCTTTACAAATCCTGCTCTCTTTGTCTTTGTCTGGCATCTGTAACAGCTTGCACTTCTTCTGAACTGTAACGATCCACTGTTCATATTTCTGAGTTCCAAAATTCCTGTTTTGAATCTGAGATAAGTTTTCTGGAAAGAAAAGGTTTTCCATTGTGCCATGTGTCAGTCATTTACGGTTCTAAGCATGCCTTCCCCTCTAATTTCCTTTCTCCCTCTCAGCACGCAGAGCAGTCCTCCTGAGTGGTCTGAGCTTCCAGCAGCCCAGGCTCTGTGCAGGGTGCTGGGGACACAGGATGAGAAAGACACAGCCCTGTTCTCCAGCAGCTCAGACGGGGGGCTACTCCGGTGAGCTCTCCAGGGCTTCTCCGGGAGAGCACAGTACAATAAAATTCACACGCAAGAGCCGTATTTCTGGGTTAAAATGCTCCTCTTTTTTAACAAAAGGAACAAAGGCGGCTTCCCAGACAAGTGGCATTGACGTGCTTCCTTCCCAGCCCCAACTATAAATGGGGTGGCCAGCAGTAAACTAAATTACCAAGTACTAACTGACCTTGGGGGGGCGTGAAAGTAAGCTAAGGTGGGGACGGGGTCTATAGGGAATCTTTACATTCTGCTCAGTTTTGCTATAACCTAAAACTGCTCTAAAAATAAAGTCTCTTAAAATAAGCTAAGCAATCTGGAAATGAGCAGCTGACAGGATTGGGCAGAAGGTGGAGGTGGGTATGAGAGGGCAGCAAGTCACGTCTGCACCCTCTGCCAGCTCCCAGGCCGGGCGGCGCCGCCCC